GTGTGTGTGTGTGCAAACCTGCAAACCTGCCCTTTCCGCACCACTGCCAAGAAAGTGGAAGCCAGACGCCAGGAGGGATACAGCGTGCCTCGCTCCACCAATCGCCAGGGCCTCGCTCCACTATTCACCAAGAGCAGAGCAAAAATGAGAGAAAGCACAGCGTTGTATCTCCCCATGTTCTTGTGGAAGATTCATTCTCATTTTTCACATTTGCTAACGAGTGAAGCGAGGCCCCAAGTAGGGAAAAGGAGTGAAGCTTTGACATTTTTTTTCCATTTCTTTCAGAAATATCGAAGCTTCACTCCTTTTCCCTACTTGGGGCCTCACTCCACTACTCACCAAGAGCAAAAATGACAGAAAGCACAGCGTTGTATCTCCCCATGTTCTTGCGGAAGATTCATTCTCATTTTTCACATTTGCTAAGGAGTGGAGCGAGGCCCCAAGTTGGGAAAAGGAGTGAAGCTTCGACATTCTTTTTCCGTTTCTTTCACTGCTCCGAGGCCCTCCACCACAGTTCAGATCTGAGCCTGCTTAGCCTGGAGCCGACCCCTTTGTGTACATGGCTATTAGATTACAGTATGCTAGGGGTAGGTCGGTGGGTAGGATTAAAGCGGCCAAAATCAAGTAGGGAGAAGTCAGGAAGGTACCGTCCTGAACGTAGTCCAAAGTCCAGGTCCTGTAGGTAGGATATCAGTCTGCAATTGCTTTCCCGCCAAAAGGGCACGAATCAGTAGGCCCTCTAGGTCCAGGTCCTGTAGGTAGGATATCAGTCTGCAATGACTTTCCCGCCAAAAAAGGGCAGGAACCAGTAAGGCCTATAGGCCTGATAGGCTGGGAAGTCACCCCAGGCAATGAGTCCGCCAGGGCGGCCAGGCTATGGAGGTGGAATAGAGGATAAGCGGTTAACAGGGACCCCCACTTTTCAGCCCCAGGTTAAACCCCCCAGCACTGAGAAGTGCATTTGGGAATAATTCTTTTCACTTTTTTTTTCTTTTTTTGCCCTGTTTTATTTTTGGTCAAGGTCTGCGTGTGCCAAGTTTGATGTTTGTTGGGGTCTTGGAGATTACTGTTTTGGCCAGCCATGAAAATCCTGAAAATCCTGAAAAACTGGAAGGAGCTAGGCTACCAGCCACCTGGGTCACCTTGTTTTCCCGGACGGCCCGGCCATGCAACGGCCAGGGAAGGTCTTAGCAAAAAAAAAGAAAAGAAAAGAAAAGAAAAAAAAAAATGGGGAAAAACTATGTTATGCAGAACCATAAACTGAACACAGCTTGTGCCTCAGGACCACATCAAAATTCTTCACCAAAAAAAAAAAGTAATTTTTGCTAGACTGCCAGAGTGGCCCGGGGTCACTTGCCCGGCCGGGCCAAAAAAAAAAAAAAAAAAAAAAGTAATTTTTACATTCTATTTTTTATTTTAAATTTGGTGAAGAATTTTGATGTGA